ACTCGAAAGGGGCTTCTTGGGTTCATTTAGGGGGCACCGCTGAGGTGTAAAACTCGCATTTGGCTTTGATTGTTCCATTAGTATGAGGATTCAGGATAGAACATTTGTATGTTTGAAACATAAAAGTTAATCCTCTATGGTACGGTGTTGCCACTAGGCAACATAGTCTATTTTAGTTTATTTTTAATAAAATGAGACACCCATTTATTGGTCAAACCTATCTCAGGGGAGAAGAACTCAAATATTTATCAATGAAAGTGCTAAAAATATCATCAAATGTTTTAAACTGTGTTGCCTCAAGGCAACAGTGTACCACAATGGAATCACATAAGGCCATACCAGGCGTACTAGGTTGGATACAAATATATTATATTTGTAAGGAAAATTGTTAGAATTATCTGAAATATATTTGCATTTGTGCATGATTTTGTAATGCACTTACAAGAATTGTAATTTGCATACTATATCTGCACATATTATGATCTGCACATTTTCTATAGCACCTAAACAAGGTATAAAACACAACTGCCAATCGACGAGGGTGAGGATGAGGTGTCATACTGTGATGAGGAAGATGAGGTCATAGTGACATATGCAGGGAGAGAGTGAGGGTGAGAGCGAAGATGCGATGAGGATGAAGATGGATATGATAACTTGATGATAATTTGGTAATACTTGTGTTCCACTATGGCACAATGTTGCCTCAGAGCAACAGCTGGATGTGAAATGCTACTTTTTATTAAATAGGAAATTCGTAATACATGATACATTTTTTGTCCAAGTTTGTTCAAGTGTCTGGTTAAAGAAATTGATGTTTTAAATAAATATATGTCTTTTTTTCTATGTGAAAATGTCAAATGTTTCATTTTGTTCGCTGTGGTTATCCGTTGTGGCCCATATAAACTTTTAAAAATTAAATAAATTCAAAATGAATGAAAATGTTTCTTGATATTGTTAGTGTCCAATTTTAAGCAGGAAAAACACCACAAATCATGTGATGATATCATATTGGGTACCATAGAGGGTTGTTAACCTATGATATATGGATTTTTTTTTCATCCAGCAGGTGAAAACAAGTCTGATTACATCTAATCAAGTGTTGTGCAACGGGTTAACCAAATATTAATGCTGAAGCTTATGAGCAATATAGTAATGATAGTGATAGTCGACCAAATGCATACAAAATACCAAAATGTTTGAGTATTCTATAACCTCTTTATCAAGAGTTGTTCATTTTTTCCTCTTCTCGAAACTTTCCTGATTTACTTTGTTTGGTTGGTGTTGGACTGACTGAAACATTGAACAGTGAAATCAATATGGGTTCACAGGCCACAGGATGACATTATCGAAAAGAAAGCGTTCTACCCATGATAACACAGGCAGATCGTCTACCTTATGTGAGATTCATTAATTTCCTCAGACAGCGTTTGAGTTTAGCAGCAGAATATCAATAGCCATCTGAGAGGTGCGGATGGTTCAATCAGTCGGTCTTCTGGGGAAAGATCGTCAAGAAACTTATTAACAAACGATTTGTGGAGGAAAAACTGTTGTGAATTCTTATGAAATCGGCCAACCTTTCCCAAATCCGCACAAAGGCCACGGCGCAATACCAAACTAATTTTTCACTTAAGGCACTTGCGAGTCAACCCACCAAAGGTCGGCTCCCAAGGTAGCGCAGGAGAATGAAGACATTAAATGTGCTCTATGTATTGATTGGTTTGTTATTAGTTGGGGAGAGAGAGGAAGAATCAAGGCAGAAAAGTTGTGCGATGAAGACCCCAGGTCTAAAGAGCATTCGGCAATAAAAGGAGGGTTTGGATCAGGTAGAAAACAACTGTTGACTGTTGATGCTAAACTCAACATGGCTTGAAGTCCTTTAGTAAGACATATAGACATCTAGAAAGAGTCAAAAACTGATGAAAGTGTGTTTTCTGAATGGCTGTGTGATTACTCCATTAAGATATCATCTATTGCAGATTCTCTGTCCGGTCTCTGAAAGGAACGTGAAAGCAAGGGCGAACGATGTTTGGTCGCTGAACGTCAGATGGGCTCCTTCTGTCTAAGTGGCTGATTCTTCAGCTGAATAAGGTGGAAAAGAGTCTCATGATGGTAGTGATGTAGTACTCGAGTCCGGTCTCGAGACCGATTTCTGCTTTCTCGGACTCGTCTCGGACTTGTTCCTTCAAAGACTCGGTCTCGACTCGGACTCGACCCTTCAAAGACTCGGTCTTGACTCGGACTCGGCATCAGTGTTGTGCTAGTTACTAAGAAATAGTAACTAGTTACAGTTACTAGTTACTTCATTCAAAAAGTAACTCAATTACTTTGTTGATTACTTGCACCAAAAAGTAATGCGTTACTGTGAAAAGTAACTTTTTAGTTACTTTTTTAAAGAAAGTTCTTTAATGTTCCCATTAATGCCCTTTTATGCGTTATGGTCTATACAAACACAAAACTGACTTAAACAGAAAGTAATTTTTAAACACTATTTTATTTAAGTCAGACCAGCACAAACTGAATATATCACAAGGATTTCTGAAATAAATAACAAAACAAGCATGTGTAAAGCTAGTGATGTGTTTGCTTTCTCAACATTGATATGTTCATGCAGCTGACAGTAATACGTTTTTACTGCATGAATGAATATTTGAGCAATACAATTGTACCTTGATCATTCTTGTTAGTTCATAGTAGGCTAATTAACTAAGGTAATAACAGATACAATAACAATTTAAACTCAATTTCAAATGTATTAAGTAAATGTTGAAATTAAAAAACTAACAATGAATGATACTTCTACAACATTTATTAACCATATTTAATGCTAAAATTGTAATCTCATTGTAAAGTGTTACCATTTTATATGATTCAAGCTTATAGAAGATGGCCATATTTAAATATCTGCAAAGGCCAGAGCATTAAAATTACATAAATGTAGACCTATATATTACATGTATAGTCTTTCACTTTATTTGCTTAAATTTTAGAACACTTGATTAGGAAACTTGATGTCGCTGCATGAACATATCAATGTAAGCAATCACGTCAGCTTTAAAAATACAACTTCGCCGGCTAATGAATGCATAACAGTGACCAGCTGGTCTGGATATAAACTAATGCAAATAGATGGTAACAATTGCGACATAAAACATCTGGGTCAGGTCTGCGTGTGTTTTGGTCACATTGCTTTAATCGCTTGAGGTAAGTTAGCCGTTACTAATGTTATTCCTCTCAGACTCGACGGCAAGCTTCTGTTCTTTCTCTGTTGATGCAGCATCTAGACAAAATATTACTTTATAATGATATGGCAATGTGTACTTTAGTGTTCTGTATTCATACCGTTTCGCTGTCTGTGTTTTAAATGCGCATCTGAAGTGCTCAGCGCTCTCCTTGCAGCTTGTAATCTCCGTGCTCGCGCTGCCTCACGTGTTAACGTAAACAACTCAGCCAGTGAGTTTATGTGTCCTCTCGCTCTGTATAATGCTAGCAGTCTCTTCAGTGATCTCGTACTGTGTAACAGCGCACACTTCTCAGCCGCTCCAGCAACTAATTAATTTAAAAAAGTAACGGACAACGCACCATATGGTAACGATAACGGAGTTACTTTATTTAAAAAGTAATGCGTTACAGTATTAGTTACTGTCAAAAGTAACTGCGTTACAGTAACGCGTTACTAGTAACGCGTTACTGCCCAACACTGCTCGGCATATAGGCGGACTCGTCCCCATCACTAGTTAAGACTGCTCCTCTAAACAATTCCCAATCTAGCTTAGTCTGTAGGCCTAACTGATGATTATTAACTGGGGTGATATTAAATCATGAATATCAAAACTGACATGTCGAGACAAAATCTCGACTCGGACTTGCTTCCTCAAAGACTCGGTCTTGACTCGGACTCGACTGTATTTGAAAACCAACGGACTCGGTCTTGACTCGGACTCGACCCTTCAAAGACTCGGTCTTGACTCGGACTCGGCATAGGCGGTTTCGTCCCCATCACTACATGATGGTCACGTGAGACTAGACCATGTTTGGAGGTTGGTATGGGAAATGATTAATTGCTATACCAGACACTTTACATAAAAGCATAGATTAAATTGAGTTTTGCACAGGTAAGCACCACTCATATACCACCCATACAATTGTTTGCATGTATAATAATTGCACAAGAACTGGATTTTTGAATGTTATTCAAATTCATTCATTAATTTTATACATTTTTAGGAAACAATAAGGTTCCAATAAGGTTTAAGAAATGAAAACACTCCATCAATGTGGGTTAGAAGAACTGTTGCCAAACATATAACATGCTAGAAACATTATAATCACTGCAATAATGATCCAAGCATTGACAAACATTTAAATCCAAAAAGCAATTATTTATTTAAGAATATAAACTTTTCTTTAGGCTAATACAACTTTTCAAGAATTCAAAGGAATTCAAAAAACAAAATGAAAGACTCAGATGATTGCAGGTGAGATGGGAATGCTGTATGAGAGAGAGAGAGAGAGAGAGAGAGAGAGAGAGAGAGAGAGAGAGAGAGAGAGAGAGAGAGAGAGAGAGAGAGAGAGAGAGAGAGAGAGAGAGAGAGAGAGAGAGAGAGAGAGAGAGAGAGAGAGAGAGAGAGAGAGAGAGAGAAAGCCTGAGGTATCAGCATCCACATGGTTTGCATTTCTCCAAATCCCACCAACAATCTCCTCAGAACAGAACAGGTCATCACGGAAATCCAGATGAAGATACTGCAGGGGACTGAGCATGATGGGACAGGGGTCGGGATTTGAGTCTTATTAAAACATGCTTCATATGCTCCGGGGATTATTGTAAACTTGGATAAAGAAACATTCTTTTGCTTGAGCAAAAGCAATGCAGATAATGATCAACAAAGATTTATGACTGATAACTAAGTCTAGGATGGTTATTGCTTTTGTAAACATTAACTGTGACCTGGTACAGGAGGAAAATGTGCTATTTAAAGGACTATTTCATATGGTAAATAGTCAATTTGTCATTGCAGAAGAATATTAAAAAAGACAAAACCATATCCAAACATTATAGAAGTTTTGGATCTTTTCTCTATTTTAGGCGGATGTCCAAGACCCCCTGATTCAGCATGACAACACTGCCCTCCCGACCTCCTCATCCTCAACTAAAGCTTCTGCTTAACTCAATTAAACTCGCAACTGCGTGGAGAGTCTGGGTAAATATTATCGTAAACTTCTCCACCTACAATGACAGATATTGCCATGTTCACATGAGATGATCGTGAGATGTTCACCAGATAACAAGAATGTTCAATATATATACGGTGTGTGTGTGTGTGTGTGTGTATATCAAATACAATATAACAAATACAACTTTTAATTTTAATAATGTATTATATTAGTAAATGTTGAAATTGGCCAAACTCAAATAATTTGAGGTAATCAGTTACATCAAAATTCTTAAGTTAAGAAATTTAACATTAAAGTAAGCAGAACTTGCAGATTTTTATTTTGTACCCATACATTTTAATTGCTCAACTTGAAATATTTGAGTAAGCCAATTATCCAAATACATAACTTAAATCTCAATTTAAATATTTCAAGTAGTTGAAATTTGTCTAGATTTAACCAGCTAATGCTATAAATGCTATTTTACTAATTGGTAAAACCATGTTTTGATAACAGTAATATGGTATAGCACTTGCTGAATGAGTTCAGCAATGTAAAATATTTAACACACACTGTGTAACACACACTCAAACCAAGCTCATGCTCCACTCGTCACCATGATGGTAACCCTACAAAAGACAAACCAACATAACAGAAACTCTTCTAAACTATAGCAAAACAAAACATTGAACACCATTAAATCTCCCACTTAACATTAATCTGGCACAACAAATTATATAACACTTCATTTTAGCATTTACTCTCCCTTTTTGAGTGTCATGACAAAGCATGCTGGGAAATAGAAATCCCAGCCCAGTTTCAGTTAAATTTAAGTTTGTCTAAGTTAAAAGAAACAAGTTCATTAAACTCAAAACAATGAAACAATTCAACTTACTTTAAATGTGTCAGTTTTGTGAACTCAAAAGAAAAAGAAAGTTCTAAATACTCATAAAAGTTCATTTGATGGAGCTAATTTGTATAATTTGAGTTGGCTCTACTTAAACCAATTAATTATTTTAAGCGTAAGAGTTTACAGTAAATGCTGTAGAAGAAGTATTGCTCATTGTTAGTTCATGTTAACTAATGTAGTTACCTAAATGAAACCTTATTGTAAAGTGCTACTGAAACTGTCCTTCTGACCTGTGATGTCTGTCCTGTTGCTCTGATGGTTTAATGAACGGTGAGTTCTTCAGGCCGGCGTCACGTTTCCCAGCCGCTGTAACCTTCAGCAGCCGCTGCGCTGGGGGCACAGACAACAATCCCAGGATTCTGTGTGCTTTTGTCCGGAAATAACAGACACAAACGGGGGGTCAGACGCTGAGCTCTGGAATTTCGATCAAAGACGTTGTCTGCTACAGCAGGTGGGGATGCTTAGGTTTAATCAAAAGATGATTGCTTTTGTTTGGCTGCTGTTTGACTTCTCTTGTTTTTCAGTCTTTTGCTTCAGGTCAGACATGACATTTCTTTTGCTACATTTTGAGATGTGACACCAATTCAACAGGTGAACCATGGATCAAGGCCGCTATTATATACACGGTACCAGTGTTGGGAAAGTTCATTTTCTACATGAACTAGTTCAAAGTTCAGTTCACAAATTTTAAAATGAACAAGTTCAGTTCATAGTTCATACTTCAAAAAATGAACTAGTTCATAGTTCTTTTTTTCCATATGTTGTGGCGAGGTTTTTAATTTTTTTTTTTTTTTTATTATTGCCACAGCCCATATACAATCACAGACAGCAATTATTTTCATCGATGGGCAAATTTTGCACAGAAATGTCAGATTTTTCCCATCCTCACCTAGCCTGGTTAAAACCAGACCATTCTCAGTTGTAACTGAGTTATGGTCTGGCAAAGCATCATAGACAAATCATTTCCAGAGGGGCGTCACCAACGGACGTCGCGGATAGACCTAAACCCAATCAGAGCGATGAAGGAGATGACGTATGCAGAGCGGCGGAGAAACTTCTCCGAGTGTTGTTCTTTGCTCGGTTTTTAACAAAAAGGAAACGTTCAAATCGCTTAAAACAGACGCGATAGCTGATTCGAACGATTGATGTTCGACGGCGGCATCCATCTTTGTAATGTAGGCTACAAAATCTGCTTCACAATCCCAGCGCTGTCGTCATCGTGTAAAGCCCGCCCCAACGTTTCTGATTGGTGCCTCGATTTCGACGATTGGAAATGGGCTTGAATGAGCTCTTTGCCAGACTAACTTTCAGAGCAAATCTAAATTTGACGGAAGTTTTCTGGGTTTTCCCAGGCTAATCCTCACCGACCTTGTCATAAAACTCGTTTAAATGATCACACGACGCCTCCTCGCTCGCTGCTTTGTCGACTACATGCTGCTTCTTGTCCTGATGACGCATGCGGCGGCCGTGGTGCGACACTGGTGGCTGGTGTTGCCAGATTGGGTGTTTTTTTTGCTACATATTAAGGCCTGTTTACGGTGTGTTTTAGCCGGGTTTTCGCCTGGAAGGCTCTATAGAAATCTGGCACCCTATTGAACGAAGTTAAACTGAGAGAGCGTGCGTTCACAGACACCAGAATGAACGAGTTCACAGTAACGTTCATCAGGCAGTAATTCAGTACGTTCAGTTCACGTTCGCCCAAAATATGAACGAGTTCATTGAACGCGTTCAGGCACAACACTGCACGGTACAAAATGCTTGTAATTTAGATTTTTTTTTTTTTAAAGTTACTATAAACAGTAAAAAGTTTACTGTAAGTTACCTGACTATATACATTTATAGAAACATGTCATTTTAAAGTAAAATATTGTTTAGTAAAAAAGTAAACTTGTGGAAAAATATGGATTTCTTGTCATTTACATTGAAAATGTATATTTAATATATCAAGACAATACATGCAATATTTTACTGAATGTTTTAACGCATTGTAATGGTGAAATGTATGCAAGTGGCCATTTTACATTGTTCTGGTGGTACATATTAATCTACAGTAATAAACATTAAAACATTTACAGTGATTAAAAAGCTTTTTTGTAAACTACAGCTTCCAGTTTCATAGCGTAACACACACACACACACACACTGTAAACCCTAATGCTCAAAATAATTAATTGGTTTGAGTAGGACAAACTTAAATTAAACAAATTAGTTCAGTCAAATTAACTTTTATGAGTATTTAGCACTTTCTTTTTCTTTCAAGTTCACTGAACTGATATATTTTAAGTAAACTGAACTGTTTCATTGTTTTGAGTTTTATGAAATTATTTATTTTAATTTAGATGAACTTAAGTTTAACTGAAACAGCTGGGATGTCTATTTCCCAGCATGCTTTGCCGATGGCACTCGAAAGGGAGAGTAAATGCTAAAATTAAGTGTAATATAATGTTTTTTTGTGTGTAAGATTAATGTTATGTGTGAGATTTAGTAGTGATTCATGTTTTGTTATGCTAATTTAGAAGAATTTCTGTTAATGTTGGCTTTAGGATAGTTACCATCATGGTGACAAGTGGTGCGTGCAGCTTGATTTGAGAGCAAATAATCCATTTATTTTACTGTGCTCATACAGCAAGTGTTTCTGTATAACATACTATTGCTAATATGTTAGCATTTACTATGTTAGCAGATTAGCTTTTTGAAGCTAACTAAGTTTGTACTAATAAAAGTATTTTGAGTTCTGCCAACTTATTTGGGTTTACAGTGTACTTCATAGATTTAAGTTATATTAACTGAATGGAATTAGTACTATTAACTTTATTTACCCAAGTTATCTTAACAATAATTATTGAGTTACTTGAACACAAATCAAATATTTTTTTAAGCTTAAATTGTTTGAGTTAATAAACTTAAATGATTTAAGGCAATCGGTTTCCTCAAACGGTTTGAGTTGAACTAACTCATCAGGTTTTACAGTGCACACACACACACACACACACACATGTTGGTGCAACAGCATTATGAGGACTCTCCATAGGCGTAATGGTTTTTATACCGTAAAAACTATATATTCTATCCCCCTACACTGCCCCTATCCCTAAACCTACCCATCACAGGAGACATGCAGCATTTTTAATTTTTTAATAAAACATTGTTTTTTATGTTTTTTAAGCCATTTGATTTATGAGGACTTTTGAAATGTCCTCATAAACCACCCATAAGTTGTAATACCAGTGTAATACACATGTCATTATACAAATTTGTGTCCTCATAAATCACATAAACCAACTCACACACACACACACACACACACACACACACACACACACACACACACACACACACACACACACACACACACACACACACACACACACACACACACACACACACACACACACACACACACACACACACACACACACAAAAGGTTTTACAATCTACACCATTTAAAAGTTTGAGGTTGGTATATGTTTTTAATGTTTTGAAAGACATCTCTTCTGATCATCAAAGCTGCCTTTATTTGATCAAAAATACAGAAAAACTGTAATATTGTAAAATATGATTACAATTCAAAATAACTGTTTTTTATTTGATTATATTGTGAAATGTAATTTATTCCTGTGATCAAAGCTGTATTTTCAGCATCATTACTCCAGTCTTCAGTGTCACATGATCCTTCAGAAATCACTCTAATATGATGATTTGCTGCTCAAGAAACATGTCTGATTATTATCAATGTTAAAAACAGTAGTTGTGCTGATTCATATTTTTGTGGAAACCATGTTTCTTTTTTCTTTTCTTTTTTTACAGGATTTTGTCTTCTTTGTAATCATCATCAGGTGCTTTTAGTGACTTTAAAGTGACATTCACAGGCGAGTTTTTGATTGGACAAAACTAAATTTGTATATCTGTTTTTATCCGCATGCTCATACAGTACATGTAAGCCATGATTTGATTCTGAGTTCACAGGTGAATGTATGTTTCTTTCTCAGTGCTCTATCCCATGACCTCAGATCTTCAAATCCGTGAGTGAATATCCAGCTGGGCCTCTCTAGATCCCAGCAGATGTTCCTGCCTCTAGTCTTCTCCATCCAGGGATCTGCAGCTCCAAATATCTTTCTAGATCTGCTCCAGGTGAACAATGGATTCATTTTTGCAAAACTGTACATACAATTCACTGCAGTTTTCAGCTAAAGTAAACTCTAGGGGCAGTCAAACGTTTATTCCTTTTCACATAAACTATGATTACAGATTATGGACTGATGAAGACTTGTTTTCCTTGCACAAACTATATGTTCTTCTGACCTCAAAAAGTTTTTACCAAAGCGCATGATTTTTAAACTAGAGGTTTGCACCACATAATCAGCTCCATATATGTTTATTTTATGATGTAGTAAACTTGCTCGTTGGGCTCATGTGTAACAGAATTGCATTTGCATGAGTCATGTGACACACCAGTCACGATAAACACGTCTTCTAGACATCGCACAAAGACTTCTAAAATGACATGGTTGCTTAAGCATGCATTTTTATCTCATATTTGCTTTTGTTAACACTATCGTTTAGATTTCATCAGACATTTCATTTCCAAACTGCAAGAACCATTGTAATAAAACTTTTGCAGATTCACGTTCAGCGTTTTCAGATAAAACTGAACAGGCTTTTAGCGCCACTAACTTTGAAACGTAAATAATTACAAAAGGAATGGTAACAGGCAAGTAAGATGTAAAAACTTTGAGATGAATGTCTGAGATAGTAGACTTGCTTGTAAAACATACTCCAGTATTCACTACTAGGCCTATTTAAAAAAAAATGATGTTCCCTTTTGCACATTCCATTGACTATAAGTAACTTTGCAACTACATGTCAACTAACTCTCATTAGTAAACTAACCCTACCAGTCAACTAAAACTCTCCTAACACTCTAATGAGAGTTAAGTGCAACGTTACTTATAGTCAACAGAATGTGTTAAAGCAGGGATGGGCAACTTCAGTCCTGGAGGGCCACTGTCCTACAGAGTTTAGCTCCAACCCTGAAAAAATCACTTGCCAGTAACTTTCTAGTAATCCTGAAGACCTTGATTAGCTTGTTCAGGTGTGTTTGATTAGGGTTGAAGCTAAACTCTGTAGGACAATGGCCCTCCTGGACTGAAGTTGCCCATCCCTGTGTTAAAGGGACCCATAAAGTGAAACCAAATATATATGTATATTTGCATATTATTATACACTGTATATTATTAAATTTCTTCTTTTTTTTTTTTTACAGTCAAGCAATGTAAAATCCTTTTGCAGAAATGTAGGCACATTTTTTCCTCCGTCCTTATACCGAAGCTTTTGCACGAATGAAAAAAGAAAAAAAAAGACTTGCTCACAGGACAGTCTCCTCTTACAACAGCATTTGTGAAGCTCAAACCTGAACTCTATGAAGCTCTATGAAGTAGCTGGTAGGTTTCAATCCAAGTTCACTCCGTGCCAAAAGCCCTCAGTCATTCTGAGTTCCTTCATTTCGGAGCTTCCCAAGTTCCCGAGCCCAAGCCCATCTCCACCTTGAGCTCACGTGAGACAAGGCCTGGGTCTTATCAAATGGACTTTTGTTCTCCACGGCTTGGCTCGGGTCTCTGAGGATGAGAGATGCAGTTAATACCCAGGGAAGTGGCCCTAATCGCCCGGCGCTATTACTGTGGCCAATATCAGCGGGGATGACAGACTTATTGATTCCAGAGCTGCAGGTGGACACAGGTGACTGCCCTCCTCCACGGCTGGGGTTTGATCTGCGCTCGGCTGGGCAAGAACAGCTCTGTCTCACCTGTGCTGTCGTGGCATGCAGAGTCCATCTCCAACCATTAGCCCACAGGACTGAGCTTAAGCCCTCAATTGGAGCTGATGAGTCCTGAGTGTACAGCTGATTGAAACGCTATCTAAATTTGGGGATTTTCTGCGTAATGTGTCTCTACAATAGATGAAATTCTTCTAAATGAGTATTTAAAGGTGCACTCTGTCATTCTGTACTAATTAAAAAACTAAAAATTAAATAATAAATAAATAAAAAGCAAAAAAGAACAGCACTTCTGAGAAACATGTGCATGTGACAACCATCATTAGTACAACAGGGGAAAAAATCCAAACAATGACCATTATATGCATGTGTGCCTATGAGAAACATAAATGTCAAAGAAAAAAACAAACAAACAAACTTGTGTAATTCAAACATTGGTGTAAAAATACAGTAAAAAAACTGTTAACAGGAAAAATGATGAATGTCCTTGTAATTTACGTGTACATTAATTGTTGACATACCAAGAAAAAATGCGGTAAAATACTGTTACGTCCCCCAGCTCCGTTAAAAATATGATTTATTGTGGTGGGTTTAATGTAATGATGGTGAAAATTATTCTCTGCGTTCAGCCCAATTACCAAGATCAGAGCCCTCCCCCTGGACAGCACGCCAAATATGTTTACCAATTTAATCTATTCGACTGATTTGTAAGTCTGAACTCGTGAATTATGATTATGGAATAAATGTGATGTCTGGCCACTTATTTTCTTGTTTTTCCAAAAAAAGCAATTAAAAAGTAAAGAACAACAGAAAGAACAAAACAAAATCAAGCACAATGAGTAATGCAAGCATGGCTGAGAGCAATTAAAGAATTAAAGTAAGTATAGAGTTACAGCCTCAGAATCAGCTTGGCAGAATGCCATGAAATTTGCAGATGCATTATTTGAGAATCGTTTGGCCCATCAAAAAGCTTTTTTTTTGTTGCCAGCATGGTCTGAAGATGATCTGAGCTGATATTGATGGAAATCAGAACAACAATCTAGGAGTTCAAAAAAGTATTTTATTTTGGAAAATTCAAATTTGTAAAACATGCAGCGTAACATTCTCGTGTTTTACACAGCCCGTTTGAGCTTATAAGCAAGAACCAATGAGGTTAATTCTCGTGTTACTCATCATGTTTGAGCTTCTGCAAGAACCAATGAGGTTCATTCTCGTGTTAAGGCCAATTTATACTTCTGCGTCGGGTGCGCGCAGTAGGTACGGCGTAGCATACGCACAGACGCGTACCATACGCCGTACCCTTCGCCGTAACCTGACGCGCACCTCCTCAAAAATGTAACTACACGTCGCGACGACGCGGACCGCAAGATCTGTGATTGGTCGGCTTGGGAGCATCGCGTTTCCTCCTATGTATTTCCGGCGTGTTCTTCTGCACCGCCCGCCATTTTTAAATTCTAAGTACAGCGAAACTGTTAAAAAAAAACAAAAAAATAACCTTTTCCACCTCGATAAGCTCCAACTCCAACATGATCTGCTCTCTTTCAGTCGACATTGCTTGTAGTAACCTAAACTCAAAACAGCCGCGAGGAATCTTCTTCTTCTTGCCGCGAGGAATCTAAACACAGTGGAACATTAAAACCCTCCGCCGCCAACTAGCGTTTCGGCGCTGTACTGCAGAGCAACGCAGACCTAAACGCAGAAGTATAAATGCTCATGACGGCGTCGCCTACGTGCGTAGCGTACGCCGTACAGTACGGCGTACACTCGACGCAGAAGTATAAATTGGCCTTTACGCAACACGTTTGAGCTTCAGCAAGAACCAATGAGGTTCATTCTCGTGTTACGCATCATGTTTGAGCTTCAGCAAGAACCAATGAGGTTCATTCTCGTGTTACGCATCATGTTTGAGCTTCAGCAAGAACCAATGAGGTTCATTCTCGTGTTACGCAGCACGTTTGAGTTTCAGCAAGAACCAATGAGGTTCATTCTCGTGTTACGTAGCACGTTTGAGCTTCAGCAAGAACCAATGAGGTTCATTCTCGTGTTACGCATCACGTATCACGTTTGAGCTTCAGCAAGAACCAATGAGGTTCATTCTCGTGTTACGCAGCACGTTTGAGTTTCAGCAAGAACCAATGAGGTTCATTCTAGTGTTACGCAGCACGTTTGAGTTTCAGCAAGAACCAATGAGGTTCATTCTAGTGTTACGCAGCACGTTTGAGTTTCAGCAAGAACCAATGAGGTTCATTCTCGTGTTACGCTGCATGTTTGAGCTTCAGTAAGAACCAATGAGGTTCATTCTCGTGTTACGCAGCACGTTTGAGTTTCAGCAAGAACCAATGAGGTTCATTCTCGTGTTACGCATCATGTTTGAGCTTCAGCTAGAACCAATGAGGTTCATTCTCGTGTTACGCAGCACGTTTGAGTTTCAGCAAGAACCAATGAGGTTCATTCTCGTGTTACGCAGCACGTTTGAGCTTCAGCAAGAACCAATGAGGTTCATTCTCGTGTTACGCAGCACGTTTGAGCTTCTGCAAGAACCAATGAGGTTCATTCTCGTGTTACGCATCATGTTTGACCTTCAGCAAGAATCAATGAGGTTCATTCTTGTGTTACGCAGCACGTTTGAGCTTCAGCAAGAACCAATGAGGTTCATTCTCGTGTTACGCATCATGTTTGAGCTTCAGCAAGAACCAATGAGGTTCATTCTCGTGTTACGCATCATGTTTGAGCTTCAGCAAGAACCAATGAGGTTCATTCTCGTGTTACGCTGCATGTTTGAGCTTCAGCAAGAACCAATGAGGTTCATTCTCGTGTTACGCAGCACGTTTGAGTTTCAGCAAGAACCAATGAGGTCCATTCTCGTGTTACGCATCATGTTTGAGCTTCAGCAAGAACCAATGAGGTTCATTCTCGTGTTACGCAGCACGTTTGAATTTCAGCAAGAACCAATGAGGTTCATTCTCGTGTTACGCAGCACGTTTGAGTTTCAGCAAGAACCAATGAGGTTCATTCTCGTGTTACGCATCATGTTTGAGCTTCAGCAAGAACCAAAGAGGTTCATTCTCGTGTTACGCATCATGTTTGAGCTTCAGCAAGAACCAATGAGGTTCATTCTCGTGTTACGCAGCACGTTTGAGTTTCAGCAAGAACCAATGAGGTTCATTCTCGTGTTACGTAGCACGT